GTGCGTGAAAATAACAATACAAATAACATTATTATGAAGTAATACAGGTCCTCTGGTGTACAATGTTATTATTATTATTTGTTATTGTTAGAAACCACTGCCGCCGGACACCATCGCGGTTGACACACATTGTTAAACCGTACCTTAAATCCACACCCGCGATACGTCGACGGTGGCGCAAACAACTTTTTTGTCCACCTTATCCTCGCCAAAGCTCACGAAACGATATCGATTTTACATAATAAGTAGATTACACCTCCAAGGTGTATTATAAATTATAATAGTTATAGATAAATTCGGAGTATGTGTTGCACCGTAGATCCTACGCTTGATCCGCCCCAAACTCCACAATCATAGATTTTTTTATAATTTTAGAAAATGTAATCGTTTTGAAAACACGTTATTTAAAAAATGATGAAGTTTTATAATATTTGTTAATGTTATTTGATAGCTATTATAAGTAAAGGTTCCATACGATTCCAACATATTTATATTATCGCCCTAATTATTGTCAGTTGTCACTCTCAATTATATGTTTGTAGGTAAAGCCCGAATTTTCGACTTGATTTCTAATAATATTTTTATTGAGAATGCTGATGTATAAATATTTAATAATAAAGCAATCTCTTTTAAGTTATAAGCACTTGCAACTTAATTTGAAATCGTTTTTTATTTCATGGAATTACCATTAAAACGATTGCACTCGCCCAGTAGTTTTAAATTTCTAGTAGGTTGTATGTGCAATGTGATAAACAGTAAACAATTAACAGTAACGTGACAAAATAAAATAAAAAAGTTTACCTCGTTGCAGTTATACATGGCGCGTGCCATGAATATCACGATGTTATAATAATATAACGTTATATAACAATTAGGGCACGGGTTTTAATGCTCTAAAAAATAAGACGAATTCCATTTCAAAACTTCATTTAACTCAACGCAATAGAAAAATAACGAAATGCTGAAAAATAATAAAGATTCGAAATAAAAGTTTTATATTCTTGGTCTTGGCTCAGACTATACCTTGTTATGTAAAGTAAGGTATGAACTATAAGAAAAGATGTAAAAATAATTCGAAATGTCCGGAACCGTGAAAATTTTTTTAAAAAGGAGCTCGTGTTTGTTTTGCAGTTATTAAAACTCGTTTCCCAGTTTATGGAGGGTTTCAAATATACCTGTATTGTAACGGGGATCACACCGTATATTATAATAACCATGCGACACTTCTATTACTTCATTTTCGGCTTTTACTACTCGTTCGCCGACGAGATTGATACACGAAGGCCCCCGTAGCAGCAACAGATCACATAACACCGCTGTCGACCTGCTTAAACGAGCTTGACAAACTAACCTTTGGTTTTGGCGGCGTAACACTCGAGTGACCGCCGGGAGGATATTCGGTATTTATCCGCTGCGGCAGCGGTCTAAGGTTGGCTAGGTATTTGGGTTGTAAATTACGACAGCGTTCGGCTCAGTGCAGTCGACAATCCTTCGCGACAAATATATATAATAATATAATATATAGATAATTGTGCGCGTGTAGGTAACAGGCCGGGGCCGCTCTCGTTAAGTCCAAGCGACGACTGTGCGCAGATATATATCATATTATTATACAATGGTAATAATGATAATAATAATCGCATTGTGTAAGCGCATAATCATTACATCCGCCGCCGTCACGTAGTCTGACGTCGACGGCAATAATATTTCAAGCGTTCGTCCGGATTAGTTTATCATAAATTATTACAATTATTTTGATTTGACAGTATAAAAGCTATGATATGATATGTAATGTATTTTTCGTGTACGATTTTTTACGTTGGTTTTCCGAGGACAGCACCAGGGACGGACGATGGTTCTGCAGTTTTGAAATCGAGAGTTGTAAGCCGAACGAAGTATGAGAAATTAATTTCGAAAATAACGATTTTTAGAAGTAAAAATGTAAAAATATTGCACCCTAACCGTGCATATCAGTTTTGCACAGTGTCCACAGCTCTACAATATAACTAAAATTATTATAAGCGCGTGTATATTATATCATGTTATATACGATACAATATAGGTACGTACCACAACGAGCAATGATCTTGCACTAGTTGCTGCAAACGCAAATTATATAATATTTCATAGCTTTAAAAGTATAATAAATGGTAATGGATTTTACATGGTATGTCAAAATAGTTGGGCCGGTACAATATGCGTTCCTTTATTTATGTACAGACATATCGATAATAATTTATACAGATATGGGAAATTATAGGTATATATATATAAACGGATATTATATATATTATTTTTCGATTATTTCTCAGACACAATAATAACGCATATATATATATGTATTATATATACATACATCAATATATCATATACTTCTATAACCGACAACCAAACAATTATCGCACAATAATTCGTCGGGCACAACACCAAATTCATTGCGAAATCGGTAGCGCACTGTAATTTACAAGAATGTCTGTGTATATACCTACCTGTATATCATAAAATATCGTATTATATACCAGCTATATTAATATGTCCGCTGCAGTCCGATTACATTATTTGGATCAAGGTGAACGGTCGTCGTCGTGATCGCTCACCGCCCTCCCCTACCCCACGAAACCTTACCACTGTCCGTTACGGACCTAAAATATAATAATATTTTGTGCACACGCGGGGACTTCCTGCATCGAGAGTTGCGAAATTTTCGGACACGGTGACGTAGAACGAACGGTTTTTAAAAAAATTGTATCTATGCTTCTGCACCAGCGATTTCATAACGCGTCGCCCGCAACTGGCGCGAGGCGCCGTTCGCTTTTTTACATAAACCCGAAAACGATAATGATTATAATAATAATAATGCAATATTTAAGTGCGTAATACGGTGTGCGACTCAATCCGGATGACCGCGGATCGGCGATCAACCGTTAAAACTTCGACGCGACGGTGATTATGTACAATCCGCAAATTATATTATAATAGGTATAACGTATATAGGTAAATATAACGTATATAACCTAATGGTACATAAAATTCATTATTTGCTTTTTTCCAACTAATCGTTTGTTGGTTTTTGCTTTCGAGGAAATAACGTTCGTGCGTGTGATAAATTCAAACAATATATGTGTTCACCTAAAACCCACGTTTACATATTATTATTATGATTCCGTTTTACTTTCCCTCGGTGAGCGACGCGGCTTAAACGCGCATTAAAGCAACAAATGCAGTAAGGTGGAGATAATTAAATTTGTGTCCGATCCGATTTCGATATACCTATCGAACACGACCGTATATATGCGACTTTCCCGATAAGACGTTTTCACCGGCCGTTTTCATGCGTGTAACGTATATTCTTATGTGTATTATATAGGTACTTGTGTATGCAAATGATATTATAATTGTCGTACGCGTGTTCAATTCGAGTCACGTGAAATTCGATCCGCCAAAATAAAAGATCTGAGTGCCAGGTTTGATGGCTACTATTTATATGGTCCGGGAAATTCGGTTGCCCACTACTCCGCAGCACGAAGTCACGAATCCTGCAAAGACTTGCCCGCAAATCATCCTCGAAGTGGGTTTTTTTATCAAGTTTTACCGCAACTCAGAATATTTACTGTAGTAACTACAAAGCCCTTAAATGTTACAAGCTGAAAACGAACCAATAACAACCGAATTGTGTTCTTACATTATAATAATATTATGTCATGTTATACGTCGTCGCGAGATTAGACTTAAACGTGCGTAACTGAAATTAATGACAAACTTTGGCGATGGTTCCACATACGGTGGCGACGTTTCAGTTGTCATTACTATTATTGTCATTATTCTTATTTTATTGAGCGGCACTCGTGCCATTATCGTTTTTAGTAGGCAGTCGTTACGAAATATATTATTTTTTTTTTTTCTACCAAATACAAATATGATTTCTCCGCTTTGTCCGACCACAATGATCGTTGATACATTTTCTCCCACACTGTATATTTTTCCTGTATATATTATTATTTCCTTGTTCGCCCACCATGTTTACTTTCTTCCGAATGGTTTTGTCGACGCTTTACAACAGTATATACTTAATACCTATATCAGCATACACCGGGCGCCTCGCTGAGTTGATTATTTAATATTTATTATTACTATCACCGGTGATTATAGTGTTGTACACGATCTATCAAGGAAAACAGTTATTCATTAACCGACGTCGTTTTCCTTACTTTTGCTAAATGTAAAGGATTGTGATGGCTTGTATAGTTTGTGAATTATAGCTCCAGCTCACTTCGATCAACAATATGTTCGAAAATAATCTACCGATTTTACGCCACAAACCCTTTACACTCATCACCATAACGTGCAACCTAAGTTGGTCTTTTTGATCTCCCTTCAAATAACGTTTATCTCCGACGCTTTTTTTCTTCGCAATGAAAACCCTTTACAGTTCAACTCGTATTTATTCGCTAAAATAGTAAAAAAAAAAACGATTCTCGTAAAATACCAAAACATAATTTTTATCAGCAAAGATCTCGGGTATACTTTGGTAGGTGCCTATACATAACTGTCATTAATATTATACTCTAAGTACGTTTCCGAGGGCCCGGAGGTTGCAGGAAAAAGTCTTGTGCGAGATGAGCGACTGTTGCTTGTCGGGCGGCGCTTACGTATACAGCCGTGTACACGTGTAAATTCACTTTCATATTTCACGTACGGGGAAAAAAAACATTGCGCGCCTTTCTATATACGTTCGAAACAACAACTTTTGCGCCACACAGTCGTTACGTAAAACTCGTCTGAAAACTAGTATAATATGTACGTCGTATAATATTAAATTGCGATCGGTTTCGATTTCGCTCGAAATCCGTACAGACCATATCACCGACATAGGTACACCAATAGGTAGGTTAACGTGCCAGCTCTTCCGACTGCACGCATAATACAAGGAAAAATACGAGTAAAAACAATTCGGATCTTTGTGCGCGGTCGGTGGATATAACATGTGTGCAGGTACTTACTCGTTAGACTTTGGCCGCGGTGAAACGGGAACGAAATCCGAAACGACAGGAATCGTAGTACTCCTCGTTGTTGACGCGAAAAACAAAACACAGGACGAGTGATTCGGCGGCGAACGAAAGAAAGTTTCGACGAGGACGAAAGACGCTGTTTTTTAGAAATGAAAAGCTTCGGCGCTTTGGCGCGCGGTCGCGGTCGTCGTCTGCTTTACGTCCGCGGTCGGGGATCCAGAAAGACCAAACGAAAAAATTTCAAAATATTAAAAAAAAAAAAATCACTAGCGAAGCGATTTGACTGTTGCACACACACCGTGTGGACCGCTTTCACTGGTCCTCGGACACTATATATTCGCGTATTTCGTCGGCCTGAACTCGACGCTTTGGTATATAATATCTGTACTTGCGAAGTATAAAATGTATATGTAATTACTGTGGACGGTTGTTGTGTCTGTAATCGCTATAGTCGGGGATTCGACGAGCACTACTCGTCGTCAACTCGCGATGACTACTGACCGTGCCGCCGGTACAATGATATATCGATGCGAGGTGGTCCCCCGGGCGTCGCGCTCGTCCGTGCAGTGTTCTCTCGACGACCCTACTGCTATAGCCGCCGCCGCCGCCGCGGTTGCTGCTGCTCCGGCTGCTGTTGTTGCCCCGGCGTGCTCGCGTGGTCATCGGTCTCCCCCACTCTCCTCACTCTCTCTCACTCGCACGCTCTTTCCCTCCCCCTCACTCACTCCGTCGTTCGTCTCTCCTACTCTTGGCCAACTCCCACCGCGGAAATCGCCTTGTTGTGCCTGTACGATTGTGTGTTTGCAGTATTTGGTGCGTAAGTCGCGCACCGTTCCCGACGAATTCGCAATTTTTCCGCGGCCCGTCGAAATTCGATAGATTAACGACACGTCTCACCTTATCGTTTATCAGATCGCGACCGTGGGTTTTTTTTAATAAAGGTACCTTCTATACGCGTTACGAGCTCGGGGGACTCTAACGTTTTTCGTCTGCGAACTGCACAGTCCAACGCATATTGTATTCGTCGACGGCTTAACGATTTCAGCAACGAGTCCCTTTAGTATTCGAATTTATATAAGAGAGGACCGACGTTGCAGCCACTCGTTTGATGATTTTCGGTCTCGCAAATAATTTCAAGTTTGTATTATCTTATAGCCGGCTCGCATGACGTGCACGCGATATAACTACCGATTGAAAAATATAAAGAGAGAATTTTTTTCCAAAATCAACTAAAACATAAAATGTATTATTGCATTCGAGTTAAAAAAATGTAAATACTGCAATGTTATACCTCTATACCTAAACTTAACAAAAAAATTTATCTAAATTGGACCTGTACCAATAATAAGTGCGTGTTGTTCTGCAGCACTCAAGTCGTGTATAATTAAAATAATAAATACATGGTACCTACGTATTATATATAACTGAAAGGGAAAAAAACTTTAAATGTATCTTTTCTCCAATAACACATTCTGTATGAGATTGTTGTTACCTCGAAACAAAACGAATATATATATATGCTCTGCACAAAGTATCACACGTCAACCTTACTTGAAATACTAATCACACGGTTTATTCTAATTATACTCTTTTTATCTAGCAGTATTTTATGTTGCGAAAAATTACTGTAATTATCAAACATAATAAAGAATTTTTAAGTATCCGAAGAATTCCTTACGCTATATTGTAATCGCAGTCGATGTATTTTCGTATTTATCATTGTTATACGTCACAGGTTAAAGTACTCCTGCGTCCTACATGGCTACATAAGTCATAACTGATACTAATCGTCGAAATGTGATTAATACGGAATAATAAATAAATGCAGAGAGACTACGATGTCTTAAATCGAAAAATAATTATTCAACTAATAGAACAAACACGTGTAGGTGTAGGGTATACATATATGCTATAAATTATAATGTATACCTATGGAGTACGGAATGAATGCGAATTTAAAAAAAACATTTTGAAATCGCTTTTGTTTCAATTAAATTTAATGGATTACCTATTAAATTAATTTAATAATACAGCATAAATTATGTTAATGTAATAATGCTGTATATAATAGGTTTAGTGGCATCTATTATGCAGGGAGATAAAAATGAAATAAATTATAGTCATAAGCTCATAATATTGATTATTTAAAATCGTCTATTCAATGAACGGAAACATAATACAACTATTACATACGTGTCACTTTTATGAAAGAAGCTTATGTAATAATAATAATTCTATGAAATTGAATTCGAAAGCAAAAAGGTGATAGTTTCTCGATAACATTTATTGAATATTTATAAATGCTGTTTCACGATAATTGATCCTATATAACTATGAAATATTATATTTTAGACGAGCAATACCTATACATAGACGAAAAAACTTCAATGCTCTCCAAAAACATGATCTAGGTAGTCTCCAGGTGTTTTTTTTTATGAAAATATGTAGAAAATAATTTTTTGTTGGTAAAAAAAATAGTAAAAAAAATGCAATTAATAGTTTTTAAAACAGTAGCATAGAACCATTTAATATCACCATAGTATAATGATTTCAGTCGATCTGACATAACATTATATACGAATATCGTAAGCACAATAATAATAATAATAATATAATTTTAGTTCTTACCATTAATTCGTAGGTTTGCTCGCAGAGCGAAGGCTTTGAATTTTTTCCGGAGAAGAGTCTGCAGAGTCACCTCGGAATGACGTATAATTATGTTTATGAAGAAGTATTTCAGGCGGTTTCACTACCTTATTTATGCAGATAAGAATTCTGAGTCTCAGCTGTCAACTACTGCAGTCGACGCTCTGACTATGTATAACGATATTGTTGAGTCTGAAACATATCATAGAATTTGATTTTTGATATTTAGCGCGGACGTATAACTTGACTTTGAGTTAAAAAGTAAAAACACACAGACCTCACACTCATTATCGGATATGGTCGGTAACTATGTAGTCATAATGGCTATTATATATTTAATTCGATCTTCAGCCCTTAACACGCTATCGGCGAGCACTCTTCAGTTCGACGATCGAGTACGATAGATCCCATTATACAATCGTCTGCATTTGGCCATCTCCGCCTTCGCGTGAAACGAATAAACGATGATATTATTATAATGTGTGCTGTTCAGGTGAAACCCGACCTCACCGTCGTGCCGACCGCCATCGTCGTTTGACAACATTCGCAAAACTCAAGACTTGATGTATTGGTACTCTCCCTCGTTGAAGGTCAAACCAGCGTACCCGCCAAAAATGTTTAGTAGGCAATATTGTGGAGTTATTCACATGGGTCATACTAATATTGTATTACACGTGTTATATAGAAATAACTTGTTTCGAATAATATTGTTGACAACTGACATAATTATTGTAACGCCTATTGTTGATACCTACCATAAAAAACATATAAACATATCAAACAGGCAATGATAATATGCCATTGAGTGTTTTTCTCATTGTTCTCCGTTCGTGTAATGACCTCTATTATCATTTGTGGACGTTTATCGTGTATGGCATTCAAATAGAATTACAAATATATTTGTACACATATTTCATTTTTATTGATCTATATAACATCGGCGTCTAAACTAGACCCATTACACTAATGAGACTTACAGATTTATTAGTAAATTTATTATTATTAATACCTGTGGCTTAATAAACTTAAGGCGGATTCACAGCTACGTCGTGAGTTGTGTCGCATTGTGATTGAATGTTACTTTTTTTGGTACCATCTAATAACCAAGTTGCGACCGAGTATACCAAGAATTGACTATAGCTCTAATTTTAACCTAATATGGTTATCAGTTTAAACCATATTTACCACGCCCTCGCATCACACGGGCATCGCCCTTTCGCGCCAAAATCAAAAAGGTATGTTTTTTTTTTCAGGCAGCCCATTTGCGCCAAATTTACCAACTTAAACATTTTAAATTAACACCTTGGTTAATTCTTATATTTTAAAAACGTCATGTGTGTAACTTATAGTAAAAAATATTTAAGTACTATTAACTATTATTACTTATTTGTTATAAATTATAATAGTTCTTAATAATTTATTACCTATATTAGTTTTTAAAAACAATTTGTATTTATTCTGATTATTGTTTCAAAAAATGTGTATTATACAGCTATTATTGATTATTATTTTAAAAACATTCGTATAATTAATTATGATTTAAATAAAATTGTATATAATAAAAAATATATTACTTTATTAAAATTATACATTTATACCAGGTAAATTTGGAGCGAATGGGCTATTGGAAAAAAACATATCTTTTTTATTTTGGCGCAAATGGGTAACACCCATCACACGACACAGTAGCTGTAAATCCGGCTTAAATACATTAAGAACTATGAACCTAACACTTAGGTAGTGTTACCGTAATCTAATGTAGTCAGTATTAATACAAATATCATTGTAAAATCGATACATGTATCGCTCAGCTTAGAATCTGAAATTAAAATATTTAAAATACCATAAGAAGCTTAACATTTCATTGCATGCAAAAAATTATAATACAAATATTTTCTTAAAATAATTGACTACGGTTGTTATACCTTTCTGAATTGCGACGACGAACAAAAACATCATAGTTTTATTAAAAACTGATGTCACGTAAATATTTTGGTTCTCTCACTAACAGTCTTATAAGTTTTAGTTTTTTACACAATTACTATGAAAACTGGAAAATACTAGCGACTCCTACTTTTAAAACCAAGTACCATTATAATGAGTTATTACCTAAGCGTTCAAGTTTAAAATTCAGTAACGATTGTACATTAAAATATATGCCAAAACTATTTGGCTCGTTATAAATAATGATAATTGATAGGTAACTTAATTTACACAATTATATTTGCATTAGATTTGAGTAAATTTAATGCATTTTACAACTTAGTAGGTACTTACCCATTGCTCATAATATCGTAATTTTACGAACATATAGACGTAACATATTGTGGTAACGTTAAAAGAATGTCACTCACTCGACGAACGTTTTCAGTGGGAATAATAATTATATACAAATATCTATACAGTATATACAATAGGTATAGGTACGTAGTTTGTAAACAAACCACAACTATTTGTACGAAAACTTGTATAGAAACTTGAAATGTGTTGTGCGTTACACGTGCAGTAGTGGTATATTTTTATAAACGAACATATAAATATATAATAGTAGTAAAAATAATGACAATAAATTCACTATCTATCCAGCCCGCCGTTGTCTGTTACAAAAATTTGTTTTTTTTTTTTATAAATATATTTGTTAAAAAAGTATATACCATATTTGAGATAATTCTATTATAACAAATAGATAAAAGATAATGTGTTATCAACGGCATTTATTGGTATAACTTTTAAAATAAAATTTAAATTTTTTGTAAAGCAGTTGTTATTGAGTCTATTAACTCGGATAAACCAACTTGGGGGTTAAAAATATAGTGACCAAATATCAAAGTTATAAGTTTAAATTATTATTATATCCGATCAATTATATTTTATTATGTAACCTGTGACAACCAATTTATATAGAAAAACTACTAATTTTTACTAATTTGCTGACATAATTTATAAT